CGCGCCGTGATCGCTGCCCTGGGTGACCGGACTGGGTCGGTCGTCGTGCTGCTGACGGACGATGCGACCGTGCGGGATCTGAACGCCCGCTTCCGCGACAAGGACGCGCCCACCAACGTCCTGTCCTTCCCCGCCGCGCCGATGGATCTGCCGGGCCAGGCGACGCCACTGGGCGATCTGGTGCTCGCTCACGGCGTCTGTGCCCGCGAAGCTCGCGACCAAAGCAAGGCTCTGGCCGATCATCTGACCCATCTGGTCGTTCACGGCACCCTGCACCTGCTCGGCCACGACCATGTGGACGACGCCGAGGCGGAGGCCATGGAGGCGCATGAGGTCACGATCCTGGCCGCCTTGGGCGTTGCCGATCCGTACAGGACGACACCATGACCGCCTGGACTGCCCTGCGTGACCGCACCCGAGACGGCACGGGACAGCGGATCGCCATCATCCTGGCCTCGCTGGGGACCGGGGCGCTGGCGGCATTCTCGCATCCGCCGTTCGGTCTGCTGATCCCCGGCCTTCTGGCCTATCCGGCGCTCATGATCCTGGCCGAGCAGGCCGGATCGGCCCGCGCGGCCTTCTGGCGCGGCTGGCTCGGAGGGTTCGCCTATTTCTTCATCAGCTGCTGGTGGGTGGCCGAGGCGTTCCTGGTGAACCCCGAGGCGCATGCCTGGATGGCGCCGTTCGCAGCCAGCCTGCTGCCCGCGGGCTTGGCCCTGTTCTGGGCCGGAGCGTGCGCCCTTTATCGCCGCTTTCACCGACCGGGTCTGGCGCGCGTGCTGCTGTTCGCCGGATTGTTCGCCGGGTTCGAGTGGCTGCGCGGCACGATCCTGACGGGCTTTCCCTGGAACCCGGCGGGCGCGGCCTGGGAGGCCGGATCGGCGGCGTCGCAGTGGGCCGCCTGGATCGGCGTCTATGGGCTGGGCGTGCTGACCGTGCTGGGCGCGGCGGCTCTTGCGCCGGTCATGCTGGAGCGACATCGCGGGCCGTTGGCGTTGGCGGCCGCGGGCGTATCACTGCTGGTCAGCCTCCCTCTCGTGGGCATGATCCGGCTGGCCGGAGCGTCGGACACGCAGACCGACACCGTCGTTCGGATCGTTCAGGCGAATATCGAACAACAGGCCAAATGGTCTCCCGAGAATTTCGCGGCGGTGGTCCAGAGCTATGTCGAGCTGAGCGCATCGGCGCCAGGACCTCTGGGTCGGCCCGATGTCGTGATCTGGCCCGAGGGCGCCCTGCCCGCTCTGTTCGACGATGTGTTCGCACCGGGCTCCTGGGTCGGGCCAGCCATCGCAGGCGGCTTCCAGCCTGGCCAGACCCTGATCATGGGCCAGAGCCGCGCCTATGCCGGGCCGGACGGCGGGGCGCGATACGGCAACAGCGTGATCGCCCTGGCCAGCCTGGGCACCGACGGCTTCCGCGTGCTGGGCACCTATGACAAGCACCATTTGGTGCCGTTCGGCGAATATCTCCCGGCCGGATCATTGATGAGTTCGCTCGGCATCCGCAGCCTGGTCCATGTGCCGTCAGATTTCACACCGGGGCCGGAGCCGCGTCCGCTTGACCTGCCGGGCCTGCCGCGGGTCCAGCCGCTGATCTGTTACGAAAGCCTGTTCCCCGGCATGACGCCGAACGGGGCCGATCGCCCGGCCTGGATCGTCAATCCATCGAACGACGCCTGGTACGGCCCAACCTCGGGTCCGCTTCAGAACTTCAATCTCTCGGGCTTCCGCGCCATCGAGGAGGGCCTGCCGATGGCCCGGGCCACCCCGACCGGCGTATCGGCCATGATCGATCCTTATGGCCGCCCGGTGGAAGGGAAGACGCTGACATCCGGCCAACGGGGCGTGATCGACGTCCGCATGCCGACCGCTCTGGAACCCACCCTCTACAGCGGCCTGGGCGATCTGCCGGCCCTGCTGCTTATCGGCCTGTCGCTGCTGGTCGGATGGCTGGGCGCCCGCCGCCGCGCTTGAAGCTCAAGGGTTGAATCGTCTTCACTGAGAGCGCGGCCCTCCCTCAACCCCCGCCTCTAGACCAGCCCTTGGACCTGGCTCATCGCTCGATGCGGCCGTCCGTGCGGCTTCCGTGTTGGAGATGGCCCTTTCGTACCAGAGGCAGGATCGGATCCACTGGCCAGGCAAACCCACGGCAATGTCGAACCCTCGATGATTCGACCGCCCTTCACACCCTGAAAGCCGCCTGGCTCGCCTGGGACTCTCCGCCAGAGCTCGGGAATGGGTATGGTACTTTTTGGACCAGATCGAAAAGTTGAGCCTTATCAACGCTTGCGGCTTGGCGATGGCAGAAAGATGCGTTTTTGCTGAGCGTGAAACGCGAATTTGGATGACAGAGCTTGACTGCTGGAGCATGCCCACCACACGGATAAGGCGCAGTGAGAGAGACTGAAAATGGCGCGAGGCAAGGGCGAGGACGGACCCCATCCGGTGGACCGGCACGTCGGACGGAGAGTCTGCGAAAAGCGGATCAGCCTGGGCTATAACCAAAGTGATCTGGGCCGGGCCCTGGGCCTGACCTTCCAGCAGATCCAGAAGTACGAGAAGGGCACGAACCGCATCTCGGCGTCGAAGCTTTACGACATCTCGCGCTTCTTCAAGGTCGATGTGGCCTACTTCTTCCAGGGTCTGGGCGGCGCGCAGCCGGGCATGGCCGAAGGCGCGGCCTCAACCTTCGACCACGATTATCCGTCGACCCGCTACACGATCGAGATCAGCCGGCTGGCGCCGCAGCTCAACAGCCGCCAGCAGAAGCTGGCCCTCGACCTGGTCCGCGAAATGGTCGAACAGCCCGGCGCCGGCAAGGACGCCTAAGCCGGGCTTTGCGCCGTCGCCCTCGGGCTTGGCTAAACGCCGTCATATATCCAGATCG